TGTGTGTGTGTGTGTGTGTGTGTGTGTGTGTGCATGCGCGTGAACGCGCGCGAACGTGCGCGTGCACGCGTGTGTGCGTGTCTGTGTGTGTGCTTCTTATTGCTTCATTATGCACACATATTTGAAGGTACGTGCGTCTGTGTGTGTTTAAGTTACGTGTATCGAAGTTTTACGTTCATTAAGCCATGTTCACCAGTCATAGTTGAGTAACCGTCTGAAATTGTGTTTGGAAAAGCCACGATATAATCATGTAAATGAGAGCTAGACTGAGAAAATACATTGTTTCACTTCACCATCTGTATAATGTATAGGCACATCCCGACTGTCGCGACTGAAACAGCAATTAAAACTGGCCGACTGAAGCATCTATAAATAAATGATTGAATTCTGTCTCTCTTGCTTTAGGTCTTACACTTTATTGGTCTCAGGGATCACAGTGTGTAGGTGCAGGAGAATGAAATTGAGTGGTTTGAGGGCGCCACTGGTAGTTCCTACTTCTTTACTTTCCCTCTGTTGTTTCTGTTAGTCTGTCCGTCTGTCTGTTTTACTATTTCCCAGCAGTAAATGACCTTTATTGTGACGACGTGCTTCTCCTTTGTCAAATGGAGAATGGAGGATGTAAAAGTTTATACACAACTACAATATACAGTAGATCCTATCCAAGATGACTGTCTATTGTCGAGGAGGAAAGTGGTCATCTTAGACACACGGTCCCCTTGGACCGTATCATTATAATGGTATATAGACACCCCCCACCCAGACATCTATACTATTGTTACACATTTCATCCATCGATCAACAAGTGACTCTCTTACACTTCCAATCTTCTCTATCTCCCAGCCACCTTTAATTTAAACGTTAAACTTTGTAACTGTTGCAGGCAAAGCATCATTCTGGACTACGGAGCTGATGGCCCTGGTTCGAATTCCCAAGGGGTATGTTCTGAATTTGGGTTGTTTTGGATAATGTTTAAGCCTCTCCACCCATTTAGATCGGTCGTATGAAAAAAGTAGACGTTAAACTCGGAGGTCCGGCCTTTTAGATAAACTCAGTGTTGAAAGAGGCGTGAAACCTATACAATTTCGAAAGGATTGAACATAAAATTTTTCTAACAAAAACAACACTTGATTTATTAAAAAGATTCGGTCTGTTTTTTAAACACAAACTGAAAAATACAGTTTGGTCTCATGATGCCGACAATGTAAGCCACTCCGCAACACCGTGAGCCCTGTTTGAGATTGTCAAGACCCGATAAAAATGGTAAACGATGTCCCAAAAAATATGAACCGGCCCGATCCATCAACCAATTTTTGTAAATGCTTGGGAGAAACGTGGACTTGTTTTACAATGTATGGCGGTCTGTTCGTTTTAACCCCTGTCGGAATGGAAAGTTCTTTTTGGGGGAAGGGGATGAGGTGAAGAGTGATTGCAAGGAAGACAACTTTCGTTTAAATTACATTTTTGCACTTGCCTCTGGTGTAGATCTACAATACATTATACTTGAACGTATTATTTTTTTAAGTAGACCTCTTCGTGCTTCAGATTTTAAAAAGAAACAAACAAACACAAAAATCTGTCTACCCTTCCCTTGACGTTTCTTTTTCAAAGATAAGAAACCTTTCTCACTAAGCCTTGTAAAGACTGACATAACCGTCTGCCGCAACTAAAACAAACGTGATAGAGATTCCCAACCATATCTCAGAAACTAGTTCCTTGTGACCCCCCGCCCCCCTGTTAAAAAAGAGAAAGATGCCGCCCAAAATTGTTGAATGTTCTAATACGCAAAACACCCACAATAATATGATAAAAGAAACCAGAAACAAACACTAGCCAAATATTATATCAAAACAAAGGCCCTCACTTGCACCATAACTATCATTTCTATGTCTATGGCGCCGTAAAACATCTACTATATGCCAAAGTCCACGCGCTTTAGCTAAACAGAAAAGGATATTCAACAGTGTAACCTGACCTATATATCTCTCTTGGGGATAACCCAAGCGATGACGACACTCGTAGCGAGTTTGGCGGTACATTAATATTAATAAGCCGGCACATGTCAAATGTGCTCCTGTCGAATAGTGCCGAAATATAGCCCACTGTATAAAAATAAACACGATAGACCCTACGCTCTTCTTTACCAGTATTATGGGAGCCCTGGAGCAATCCAGGGGAGTGCTTCAGTGAATTGTGATTGGTTCATTGTT